AAATCCTCCTTGAGTTATATGCATGTCTGCGTTGGGAAAAATCTCGAGGCGAAAGAACGTGAAAAATGAAATGAAAAGACGACAACAGAGGAGAGAGATATAGAGGCAGAAAAAAAGGGGGTATGTAGATTCAAATGAGACTGTTCACCTACAGTTCTAGTTTAATGCTCGTGACCAAGCTTTACAGAAAGATCAAGCTTGAGACATCACTTTTTGCGAAAAAAGAGGCGCTTTACAATTAGAATTTTTTTTTCCTCTCAAAGAAAATCGATGAATTTTTTTTTGGATTGAAATATATTTCCTCTTTTTTAATAAATAAGGCAAAATAAAACGAAAACATTCGGACAATGAATAAAAAATTTTAATTTACTCCAACGTTACGAAATCGAAATGATTTCCTCTTCAGGGAGTGTATTAAAAATATACAAAACCAAATAAAATACAATACGAATAAAAATAAAAAATAAAATTAAAAAACAATAAGTTAATAAATAAATAAAAATAAGTTATAATTATAAATCTTCAAAACAATAAATTAAAATTAAAATTCAGAAATAATAATAAAAATTAAAATTAATAAATAATTGAATTGAAACAAATAGGATTCTTAATAGAATTATACAAAAAAACAATAAAATAAAAATAGTATAGAATGAGTAAGAAAAATTAAAAAACAAATTAACATTAACATTTTATAGACTCAGGAGGAAATCATTTCGATTTCGAAACGTTGGAGTAAATTAAAATTTTTTATTCTTTGTCCGAATGTTTTCGTTTTATTTTGCCTTATTTAATAAAAGATCTCGGACGTTAAAGATTAATTTCTCCTCTTTTTAAAAAATCAATTTTTATTATTAACCCTTTAATGGCCGAGTTTTTTGTCGTTACTTTAGGCTTATAATGTATATTAGATTTAATTACTAAAGTATTCAGTATGAGAAAAAAATTTTTTTTAACATGTCTCACCCCTTAAAACCACCCCCACGGTACATTACTACCCCAAAAAACTGATATTTAACCAAATTAATGAATTAAATATTTTTCAGCTCTTATCTACTTTTTATTTATTTATAAACATTGCCTGGTTGCTTAAAAATTGAAAAGGATCAATAACCCCTTGAAAACACCCTTAAAGTCAAATAATCATTCCTTGACGGTGAAAGTTTTTGTAAATGATTAAAAAAAATCTATAGATTCTAATTGCTTCTAAATTATAAACAATTATTTGAAAGTTACACAGACATAGATAATAATAATAATAATAAACTCACCCCCTACCCTTGAAGCCCACCCCTAATTCATAACTATTCTCAGTTTGGAACAATCAAAAAAATAATTTTCACTGATTTTCGAAAATATGAAAAAAAAAATTTTCTATGATAACTAAGTATTAATACTGAATATAAACAACCCCTGAAAAACAACCCTTAAGTCAAATAACCACCCCTTAATGATAAATGTTTTTGTGAATAAATGAAAAAAATTATATGGATTCTAAGTGCTTCTGAATTGTAAAAAAGTATTTCAATGTTTCACAGATATGGATAATAATAATAAACTCACCCCCTACCCTTGAAATCCACCCCTAATTTATAAGTTATAAGATACTGAATTCAGTTTTCAAGAATCAAAAAAATAATTTTCACTGATTATTATCATATTGAGAAATGCATTGAGTACATACTCAATGCACTCCCCTCCACGATGGCGTAGAGGGGAGTGCATTGGGTAAATGAAAGGGGGGGTACGACAGTAGCAAAGAAGCTCCCATGTGGAACTGCTGTTATAAGGCAATCAGCGCGTCGTTTCGTTTTCTCTGTGTAGCGTTCTCCCACTACCTCACCGATTGAGCCTGGGTCTGTAATTTTCATTTTCATACTAAACTCCTAACAACAGGCACTAAAAGCTACAAAATTAATAGGCAATAATGACACCAGCATTATTTTGCAATTTTAAAAACTGACATCATATTCGTAATTATCGACCCCGAAAACCCCTGAGTAATAAGTTTCAGATGAATCTAATGAAAGTTAATCATTTCGTCCGCCATATTGGATCCGCCATTTTCAATTTTCTAAATCTGATATCGGATTCGTAATCAGCGACCCCGAAAACCCCCCAAGTGACAAGTTTCACATGAATCTAGTGAATTTTTATATTTATCGGTCGCCATATTGGATCCGCCATTTTGAATTCTTAAAGACGGACATCGGATTCGTAATCAGCGACCCCGAAAACCCCCGAGTGATAAGTTTCACGCGAATGTAGTAAATTTTTATAATTATCGGTCGCCATTTTGGTTCCGCCATTTTGAATTTTTGAAAACGGACATCGGATTCGTAATCAGCGACCCCGAAAACCCCCGAGTGATAAGTTTCACGGGAATCTAGTAAATTTTTATAATTATCGGTCGCCATTTTGGATCCGCCATTTTGAATTTTTGAAAACGGACATCGGATTCGTAATCAGCGACCCCGAAAACCCCCAAGTAACAATTTTCAAGCGAATTTATTAATTTTTAAAGGTTTTGGTTTTTAGGGGTAGTTTTAGTTATTTTTCTGCACCTTCGGGTTGAATTTTTAATATTAATTTTTTTTACAAAGGTTGCAATATTTTTAAACATATGTTACTATGAAAGCCTGAAAAAAAAAATTTCTTCTGAAATTTATACCTGTTTTTTCATTTTTCTCATTTTTCGGGTTTTTTGAAGGGGTGTATTTCAAAGAGGGTAGTTTTTTAAAAAAATACATGTATTTACATTTGTTACTCTATCCCTCCCCTTCAAAATGAGATCTTAGTGGAGTTAATCGGTTAAGTTTTAAGAAAGTTATGATTTTTTGAAGTAGGTGGGACGTATGTGTCCCACTGGCCATGAAAGGGTTAAAAAAAAAAAAAAATTAACTGAATTTAAAGATTTCGAAAATTTTCCTTTTTGTCAAAAAAAAAGAAAGAAAGAAAAAAGAATGGTTTGGAAAAATCTATTTGGCACATTTTTTTTTTTGTAAAACGTATATTTGGCTTTGTGGTTTCGTACATTTACCAGTTTGAATAACTAACGATCGACTCAGTTTGCAAATTCCACAGGTCATTTGACAGAATCAACGAGATATTGCCGAGGTAAAATTTGAAATTGAGGGAAAGGCGATGGTATAACATTGTATTAACTCTGTAAAATTAACGATACTATATAATAATTTTCTCATTAAAGTGATTGGAAATTTGCGTCCTGACATAAAATCAATTTTCTGAAACTGAATTAGCCCGCGCATTATTTCTAAGCACCGGAAAAATGTAAAAAAAGTACATATAACCGATAAAATTATAATACAATAAATAAATAATAATTATTTTTTTTAAAAAAAAACCAACTTTTCTAATTAATCATTAAAATTTTCGACAAAAAAAAAAGTATTTTTATATAGAGAAGTTTCTCATCATATTTTCAAGTATATGATATATAGGGGAAAATTTCAGAAGTGAAAGATTTATTGTCATAACCATTATGCGTGTTGTGGAATATACGCTAAATGTAGAATTGGAATGTCGTGCGTTGAATTTGTTGTATAATAAACGAGCATCGAAATTATTTGTATATATATATATATATATATATATATATGTGGGTGTGATTTATCGTAAAAAATTTGCATAATTGAAATATTTCATTATACAAATTATATATAAAGTTGTAATTACATATCTCAGTTGTCATAAAAAATCTTACAGAGATAATTAAATATCCTAAATGATAAGTAATACGACACAGAGAATATATACGGAAATTTCTAAGCAAAGTTTTGTTTGATACATAATATACTCTCAAGGGCTTCTAATATCAAATGTTTACGTGTTTACTTTGAAAAGGGAAACACATATATAGTAACACAAGAATGTGAAACAATTCGCTAATCAAATTAACATTTTATGTGTTCTCATTTTGAATGAAACAAAAACAATTTTCTATATACAAAAATTGCTATTTTATAAGATTACATTATTTTTTGAATCATATACATAAATTATAATTTAGTTTTATTTATTGATATTTATATTATAAAAAAATATAATATGGCTATCTCAATTTTAATCAAAAATTATAATATAATTATTATGATGTATTTATAAACATCAAATATAACGGAAGAGTATATTTATCGATGTTATTGTTATAGACAATAATTATCTGAGTTCAATTTTAATAAATGACAATTTCAAGTAATCAAAGGATTTAATAACAAAAACATGCTCTTTGAAAATTGTACCTTCAATGAAATATTTTTAATTTGTCAATTTAAAGGGTAATGAAGTTTTAAAATTGTTATAAATTCTGTCTTTTAAAAGCGTTCACATGTTATATGTTTATGAAGTATCAAAGAAAATTCTTTTTTTTCACTAATTAGACTAATTTGTAGTATTCATTTAATTAAACCTTTTTTTATCATTTTTCCATTAGCACTTCTACATTTATAATAATTCAAATTTTTATAGACAATTTTTAATACTTTTTATTTTATGTTTTAGTTTTACTATTCTCTATACTCTCCTATTATTAGATTATATAAAAAAAAACTGATATGGGAAAGTTTTTATAGAATATTGTATAAATTTTTATCTAAAATTAGAGCCTTTATGAAAATTTATACTATAATAAAATTTTCCATTTTTTCAATTAATAGAATAAATAAAGTTTCAAACATAAGGGAGTTTTTAATCGAACCAAATAAATCGAATTAAATTATATTTAAATTAAATGAAAATTTGTTTCAGAACTTAATAATTATTGTGTTCTACAACGGAAAAACATACGTAAGTGACAATTACATGTTACTTATACGTATATTTTTCCATTTTATCGCTTTATATAATATGTAAATTTAAATTTTGTTTAAGCTAAACAAAATTCTTATCAGAAGAAAATAAAATATTTGCAACAAATATGTATTTATTTACCTCTTTCTTTTTTTTTTTGCATTCTTAGCAAAAACAAAAACAAAACTCACCTATTATTGCTCCGAAAACAAAGACAAGATTTAGCCACAGGTGGTGCGTCATTTTCAACTTTTTAAAACTTTTTCTCTACTCAAGTTTTCACAAATGGTTTTTACTTTGTTCACTTCACGAAAAATCCACTATACTTCTCCTTGTGCACAAAATGCAAAACATCATCAATGTTAACAATCATTGAAATCGTCGCATTAATCATGTGAATTTATCCACATAATTATGCAATAACCATATCAAGTAACACTAAATAAACTCCATTCCATTTAATGGAATATTTATTACTACAAAAAAAATGAGTTGTCACAAATTTTTACAACGTTCACAAACACAAATTTCTTTTTTTGGCGGGTAAATTATTTAAAAATTTTGAATTTTTAAAAATAAAAATGTCTGGTAATAATTATTAGAAATTTTTAATTGAAAATTTTTTTAAATAACAACGTTTAAAAAAAAATTAGTTTAAAGAATTTAAATCGTATGGAGAATGGTAGGAAATTTTAAGCCACTGTTGACAGAGTAATTGCACGTATATCTACTCTGGATTGCAACCGGCGAGACTGAACGTCGCCGCGCGAAGTTGTAGTTGACACAAGCAACGCATGCGCCGACCGCCCTTTCTCCCACCTATAATCCACACTTTATCGTCCCACCCTCGCAAGGAACTTTGGTGTTATCTTTGTCAGACTAAGTTATATATAGTATGAGCTTTCCTTCTCACCTCTGTGAGCTTGATCTTCACTAAAGTAAACACACCTACACAGATGAAGAAAGCAACACTACCCGAGTGCCTCTCACGCTCTCTCTCTCTCTCTCTCTCTCTACCTACATATATATATATCGAGGAAGGTCCTCTCGTCGTCGTCCTGGGGCCGATTTGCGATCTTACTTCACACCTTCTGCACGAGAACTCGAGTGCAGATTCAATTTTACGAATATTGAAAACTTTTATCCGAATAAGGGTTTGTTACGAAGCACCCTTTCTCTCCCCCCCCCACCCACTTATAGCACTCTCTCTCTCTCTTGCATTTTGCCAAATGCTCTCTTTCAGGATTGCTACATTTTTGATATTGAAAAATGAATTTTAAGGACTCTGGAACCATGAGTTTTATTTGCTTGACACGAATTTTTTTTTTACCTCAACTTTGTGTGATATACTTTCTGTATATATTTACGCGTGTGCTACATATATTATCGAATTTTACTACTAGTAATTCTGAATTTTATAGGAATTGAAAAAAATTTTGTCTAACTATATAAGAAACTTTTTCTACTAGTAAAAAGAATACATATTTTAAAAGTTCTTTGACAAAAAAAAATCATACTTTTTCCACTAATAGTATAAAGTTAATTTTTTCCCTCTAACTAAAACATACTTTTACTACTGTTGCAAAATTTTTTGTCTGATTTAAATTTACTTTACCTACTGCTACTAGTAAAACTACAATCAGAAAAAAATTCGTTTGAAGCAACCAAATTTTGGTTAAATCAACAAAATAAATGCATTGATATACAGTTAACCAAACATTTGGTAGCATAAACCAAACGTTTATTTAGCTCAATCAAATCAAAAAATTCAAAAAAATTTATTAAAATAAACCAAACATTTATTTAGACCAAATAAATATTAATTTGAATTAAACAAATTTTGTTTGAACTAACCAAAAAATTGGGTAAATATAAAAAAATTGTACATTTAGTTCAAACATATCTTTTTTCTAAGTGTAGTTTGTCTGACTAAAAATTACTTTTACTACTAAAATTAAATTAGGGAAATTATATGTAAAAATTTTCTGTTATGTCTGACTAGAAGGTACTTTTTCTACTGGTAAAATTTCAAAAAATTGAAATATATTGACTTACTACTTTACTGCTAGTAATTTAAAATTCTGCTAGAAAAACTAAAAGAAATTTTGACATTTTGTCAGACCTAATCTGACTTGTACTGCTTATAGTAAAATTTAAAAACTTATTTTCTTTTGCCTAATTAAAACACATTTTTTCAACTTACAATTATGTTATTCTGAAACAAAAATAACAGATAATGTCTAACAAAAAATCGCTTTTTCTACTGTTGCGAACGAATTTTAAACAGATTAAAACTGTTTCTCAAGTTAGTTTTATGACTTTAAACAAATTTCAGGAGGAACGTCTGAGTAAAACTTGCTATTACTACTGACACTAAAATTAGTGGATTTTAAACAATTTTGTCTGACTAATACTTCCTTTTTCTACTGATACTTAAATAAAAAGAATTGAGTATGTTTTGTCTGGCTAAGCATTACTTTTTCTACTGATTTGATTTTTCGCTTTGTCTGACTAAAAATTGTATTTTCTACTGTCACAAAATTAGAATTAAGCCACGTCTGACTAAAAATAACTCCTGTACTGATTTAAAATTACCAGAATAAAAATCGTTTTATCAGACTAAAAATAACATTTTCTACTGAAATGAAATTACCAGAATTTCTGGTTAGAATTATTTTTTCTACTGATTTGAATTTTTTTTTTCACTTTGTCTGACTAAAAATCACATTTTCCACTGATTTAAAGTTATAAAAGAATCTAAATTGCTTTGTCTGACTAAAAATTACATTTTCCACTGTCACAAAATAATATTTAAATCCGCTTTGTCTTGCTAAAAATGTCACTTACTACTTACTTAATTTGTACACTAATTTTAAATCATTGTCTAATTTTAATTTTTTTACTTATTTTAAATTTCAAAACTATCAAATAGGTTGAAGTTTCTTAAGCATAAAAGAAAGAATAACAAAAATTGTTGAACATTTTTAAAAAGAATTTATATTAAATTCCTAACATATAATAACAAGTGACATTTTACATAATAATTAATACCTTTAAGTTTCAAGATTATCACGTCTTCAGTAAATGAACTGCCTAAGGTATCATATTGGAATACAACACATTGATACTAAATAACCGGTATTATGATCGGACGTTTTTAAACGCACGTGCACTTCCCGCATCCTGCGCAGGTGACGACTTTTGCGATATGTACGTTCCCAAAGTCATAACTGTTAAAAAAAACACTTCAACCTAGCATTTTATTATATGTTTTAAGATAACAGAAAAGTAAATAAATATATAGGTATATTTGCAAAAGAAAAGAATATAGTTCATGTTTGCACATTTACGGAAAAATAAAATTGACATAAAAAATTGTAATAAAAAAATTATTTTTTAGAGATTTAATTTTTTAAAAAGATTACTTTAAAACAAATTTCACAACATTTTTCATATTTATTATAATATATTAATATTTGTATATCTTATTAATTAAAGTGGTTTTGGAGTAAAAATAAATATTTACAAAGTTTTAAATCAACTAAAATTGTTACTAATTTCATTAGACAATTACCTATATATATTCAATATTATATTTATACCAACATATAACATTTATTAAATTAATTAATTAGTCATACGTTAATGTAATTAAATAAATATATGCTTTTACGCGATCGTAATACATATTTTTAAAAAACTCGAAATTGATCATATCTAAAATGTGAAATATCTAAATTGTTTAAAAATAGTTTCTACATTGATTAAAGTTTTGTTTTTTTTTAGAAAATCATATTTCAAAAACCTACAAACTTTTTGAGGAAAAATTAGTTTTCGCCTTTTTAATATATTCCTTCCTTTTTTTTGTAATATTTTCTTATTTACTTCTTCTATTTTTTTAATGTATACATCTAGTTGGTGCACTTTTGACAGCATATTGATTGATTAACTGTCGCAAATTACATCATCAAACTGTAATAAGGTGTCAAGAATAAAAAATTGAAGCAGGAAATAATAAATGCATATACATAAAAAGTGTTAAATAACTTGTACCAAAACTTGGCCTATTAATCATACTCGCTTTGTTTTTTTTTCCGGAATAGAGAAAAATTGAAAGGAGGGGAAAGGAAAATCAGACGGTGTTTCACAGTTTCATATTAGTAGATAAGTAGATAATTTACTATAAAAATTAAAAATAAATTGAAAGGCAAAAGATCATAAAAATTAGATTGCTTATAATGATAAATTTCAATGAATAAATAAAATTTCCTTTCAATAAAATTTTATATAAATATATAAATACATAAATTGCGGGGAGAAAAAAAACATGTACACATATATATATATATATTTTATGCCATTTCGTTTATCGAAAACTGAAAATCCTTTACTCACTTTGAAAATGTTGATGATTGCGTCGGCTTTCGCGCCCCGAGAAACTTTTGAGATCGTTTTGCTTTGATACCAATTCCTGGGGCCATGAGCATCGTGCGCTTGTAAAAGCGACTACTTCTTTTCCTTATGCCGAGATGAAACTTTCGCTTCTTGCTCTTTTTCTCTCATGGCACAAACAAGTACAAAAATCCATGCTTTCTTGGTGTACCCGCAATATGGTCCCATCTGTAGACGCGTTTTCAACGTGAGATTATACTGAGGGCGATATTTATGCTCGAACCCCTTCTGCACAGTTTGCAAAAAAAAAGAAAGAAAAAAAAAGCGCTCTTCTGTAATGTTGAGATATCTTCGCATATATATATATAGAAAAATACCTACATATTTATATATGAGTGATTCTACAGAAACTGGTGCGTTACTACAGTAACTACTACCATAGCAAATGTTACTACAAAAACGATACCATAAAACAGTTTCTATAGTAACGGTTACTATAGCAACCGGTACCATAAGAATAGTTTTCATAGCAACTAGTACCATATCAACGGTTACTATAAAAACTATTACCATAGTAAGAATTAATATAATAACGATACCATAAAAACTGTTGCCATAGTAACTGTCCCCATAGAAACCAATTATTGCCATAGTAGCTGTTGCCATAGAAACCAAATGTTACCATAGTAACTGCTGCCATAGTAACTGTTGCCATAGAAACCAACTGTTGCCATAGTAACTGTTGCCATAGAAACCTACTGTTACCGTAGTAGCTGTTGCCATAGAAACCAAATGTTACCACAGTAACTGCTGCCATAGTAACTGTTGCCATAGAAACCAACTGTTGCCATAGTAACTGCTGCCATAGTAACTGTTGCCATAGAAACCAACTGTTGCCATAGTAACTGTTGCCATAGAAACCTACTGTTACCGTAGTAGCTGTTGCCATAGAAACCAAATGTTACCACAGTAACTGCTGCCATAGTAACTGTTGCCATAGAAACCAACTGTTGCCATAGTAACTGCTGCCATAGTAACTGTTGCCATAGAAACCAACTGTTGCCATAGTAACTGTTGCCATAGAAACCTACTGTTACCGTAGTAGCTGTTGCCATAGAAACCAAATGTTACCACAGTAACTGCTGCCATAGTAACTGTTGCCATAGAAACCAACTGTTGCCATAGTAACTGCTGCCATAGTAACTGTTGCCATAGAAACCAACTGTTGCCATAGTAACTGTTGCCATAGAAACCTACTGTTACCGTAGTAGCTGTTGCCATAGAAACCAAATGTTACCACAGTAACTGCTGCCATAGTAACTGTTGCCATAGAAACCAACTGTTGCCATAGTAACTGCTGCCATAGTAACTGTTGC